CTTTCAAAAAAGCATAAAAAACTGGACGGAAAAACGACGTGAGTAAAGCGATCTGAAGGCTAGTTGGCGAGCGTTAATGAACAGGAGGATGTGCTTTTTAGTTAACTTTAAATGTCTATCCTATCTTCACCATACTTAAACTTCTACTATATCTTTACCTTTAAATGTCTACCATATCTGAGAATCTGTTCCATGTTATTTAGTACCATAAGACATGCTAACACAAACATCCATCATATCCATACAACCATCATATTTTATGACTATTACATACAGTTGACAACGATTTAATTTTATGATAATGAAACCATGATAACTTTTGAACCACTGGCGAGGTTCAGTTACAACTTGGCTGAATGCAGGGCATTTTTGTCATTCTTATTGTTACAGTCCTTTTTTCAATGAAGCTTTCGAAATTAAACTTTCTGAGCACTTGTTTGACTAAAATTTAGAAAGAATCCCTTACTTAATATTCAAAACAATCCAAATTTGAAAAACACGGCTCCATTAGATCAATACAGTTATTGAAATTCAGGAATAGCATTTTGAAGACCGCATTTTATGGATTTTTGGTACCTTATAACTCTTACCGGACAATGCTCGGAAAATTGAAATCTTTACGACGAAAATTAATTAGAATACAATAAATGAAATGTGAATAATGAAAAACAAAATGAAATGGAATTACAGATTTGTTTGTTGTCTACTGTTCATTAATCTAAAATTAATCACAATATGCACAATACACAATTTAAAGGCAGAAAATCTAATATTTGATGTCAGTGAATTTCACACAACATTATAGTAGCTATGAGAGCTAATTTGGTTATCTAGATTATCAAGTTGTTTATAAAATAGACTAGTTCAAAAATTTAGAAAAATGTTGTCGGAACTAGTATGATAGTGATTAGTTTCAAAAAATGTAAAAATTGATTGAGTCAGATATTCAAAGAAAAAAGTAATAAAATTATTGATTACACAGATTAAACTAAATAAAAAAAAAATTATAAAAAAAATATTCTAAGTCTCTATGGCCGAATAATACTCCGTCAAGGTATTTGCGTCACGCACATGCCTTACCGTCGACTTGTCGCCAGTGGAAGTTCTGTTCCGTCGAAGTGAAAATACTGCTTTTTCGTTGAAGTAGTTGAAAATAATTTTAAATAACTATACATTTCCATAAGTTGGGCGAACTTTATTGAAAAGTACTATTGTTTTTGATTGATTGGTTTAATTAACATAAATTTGATCTGGATCGTCGGAGTTGCAGTAAAATACGTCTGATTCCATCACCAACCTTGTCTACTACCTCATATGAATGACCCATGTGTATAGTGTATTTCCATTAGCTTGCCATATGCCTATGGTATTTCCCTTTAATCGTACCATAAAGCTATGTTGTCCCGCCATATAATACCATACGAATTCTATGGTAACCATAGGCGTATGGTGCTCTGCCGTATAAATGCCATACGAATTTCTATGGTTTTTCCATAGGCTTAAGTTATCTTGCCATTTAAGTTTCTATGGCTCAACAGGTTACCATTGACTACCATAGGCGTGCTTATGGCAAAATTTTCTAAAGAGAAGTTACTGAAATGGGAATCGTTCAGTTGCATTCGTTTTTTTTTCTCGAACATTCTAATTGATTTTGGTTTGACAATGTTATCGAAAAAGTATGCTCGAAAAAATCCCAAAATCTTTGCTGGAATAATAAATGCCTTTCAAGAGTTCATCAAAATCATCAGCCCATTAGAGAGTTTTTTAGGATTTGATTAATTGTCTATTCCCCACCATAACTATTGAGGGAAATCGTATGGAACAAGTCATAAACTAAATATATAAATACCTGTAATTACCTTTAAAATGTGCATAAAGTTTTCTTTTAAATGTTCATTTTCTTTATTTCATCTAGATCAATACTTATCATCCTGTTTCTTTATCATATGAAACGATAACTAAACTGTATTAAAACTATGCGAGTACATCCTTATGATACGACAAAATAACCCAGTGAAACTAAACGTTCATTAAAATTTCTTTTCATTCATCTAGGTTGCCCTTTAAGTGCGAAATAATTGCTTTATGTTTTGATATGATGAGTTGCACTATATATTACTCAAATTTCGCATTTATGAAAATGCATATACTCAATGAAAGTAACTCAAATCAGATTTTTTTAAATAAATTTTCTCATGTGAGCACAGTGATGAATTCGGTTCGAAAGTCGGAACGATTTCTATTTTTCAAATTGTTTCAAATTGAGCGATTTTACTATGTTTCTAACCTTCTATTGTTAATAGATATACTCCTTTACAGTAATGGAGCTGACAGTAACCATATTTGCATATAATGCATCCCATGATCAAGGTTAGCTTTTGTTAAGCAATGGAACTATGTTATGTTCTTAACTGGCTTTAATGGTCGTATTCAATCAATCAATTAGTTAAAATCGGATGTTTTAGGCCAATTTATTCCTATCTGTTGATTCAAACAAAGCTTATATACGCTGATATGGTGAAATAAATTAAATAAGCAATTTTTGCTTATTGTTTTTAATGTTTTAATGTAAATAGATAAAATCTATTTATCGAATTTACATGAAGGAAAACAATTCTGGTGAAATAACTATAATGTATGTTTCTGTACGTTACTGTATGTTAAAATCGGTAATCTCCGTAATAAAATTAAAAATGTATGATATTTAAACAGTTACTTAATATTAAGCAATTTAAATATTTTCGTATTTTTTCCTTTCATATAATAGTGGTTTAAGACAAGTTCGGGTTTTACAAAATTTATATTTCTTACTACCACACATTTAGTAATAATACAAAACTGAAAAGTAAACCCCCCAAAAAAAGTTCTTTTTATGTCATGCTCTAAGACAGTGGTTCTTAACCTTTTTAAGCCGCGACCCAAATTTGAGAAATATGTTCATGTCGCGACCCAAAAAAAAGTCAAAATTAGGCTGAGTAAGCCACAATGACTTCTTCTAGGAGGTGTTGGTATTACTTATTATTTGGTGTATTACTAACTTTTTGGTTCGACCCAAGAAATATGCTTCGCGACCCAATTTTGGGTCGCGACCCATAGGTTAAGAACCGCTGCTCTAAGATATCATGATAAAATACCAAATTTTACCACCTTTACCAAAATTTATCACAAATTATGAAACCATATTTTATTGTTAATCATAACCAAAGCTCTTCTGCAAAAATTACCGAATTCTTAGGTGATCCCATAAACCCAGAAACACGGTAAAATTTTCTGAGGAAAAATAAAATGATAAAACTACCATTTCTTGGTAATTTTGACTATACTTTTTTTCCTCAATGCTGATTTGACTTGAAAATTCCATTCAAATTTATTTACTTTGTAAGACTACTTTTAATGGAAAAATGTGCCTTGTGCTGAACAGCAATATTTGTTCATTTTTTTGATGAAACCTTTTGAAATCTAATTACACCCGTAAAATTCAATTATATTTGAATATATTTACTAGCTTTATTCAAATATAAAGCTAGTAAAACCATTGCATGAAAATGCTTCTTAGTTTAATAGTTATTTCGAAATTTTTTTTCTCTAAACACATGCAGCGTTCTTATTAAGTTGCTATTTATCTCATGAGAGTATTTAAAATAGATAAACTTATATTTAAGGATTATGAATAATTGCGGATATATTTTAAGCTCTATGATGGTGAAAGAAAAAGAGAATGGATATATTTTGGAATTTCCTTGGAATGTTTCAAGATTCCTTCATCTGAATTGACTGTTTTTTGCGATACCGTCTGCAGTTATGCGTGTTTAGGGAAGAATTCTGAGAGGGTTATGTGAACACAGAATGTTCCGTAACATCTCTTTTCTTATATTCTCTCGTCTCAAGGGGGTAATTTGACTTAGAAATAGAACCATACATTTGGATATCCTTGGCGTATACAGAAAAATTCTCCTGCATCTCTCTACGTTGCATTTATATAAAACAGTTTCGGTATTTTGGCGTTCAGCTAGATTGGGATTGTGATTTAGGCAGCTATATGTTATTTCCTTTATAGATAAAACGCAAAAAGTTTGATTATTTTATGAACATTTTTATTTAAAAAGCTAATACTTCTTTCTATATATGTTAATATATTGTTGTTTTTGTATTGTTTGCAGAGTTGGAGCAAAATACTAGTTATAGATATATTTTACGTTTCGATTTTATTAAAGGAAATAATAACTATTTTTTTTAAATATTTCCGTATGAAATATTAAAAAGAATAATATTTAAACGGGCGGTATATTTTTATTAAAACAAATATATGTAATTTTCCGGAAAAATTATTTTGGTTAACTAATTCATGTAAGGTGAATAATAGTTTTATTTCGGCAGCATTCATTAATAATAAAGTGCTTTTTATAATGAACTCAAACGTTTCTAAATCAATGCGCTTTTTCGTTATTTAATTTATCATTCTTTGCAGGTAGTTGGAGTAAGTTAGACACCAAAATGTAAAAATCATCGATACGCTATTCCTTACTGGGAAATGGTTATTTTAATTTAAAGTTTAGTCTTAACAATTTCCATTAAATTTTGAAGATTGATTCATTGAGAGTTGGGTATTTTGCTGTAAAACTCTTACTTTTAGTTTCTATTAAACTAGTTCATTAAAAATCTAACACTGTAGTCTCTAATTATTAACCCTTTTGTAAACTCTACGAAAAATTTGTTTATAACAAAACTGTTATGCCGATGCTTTGAACTATAATATCAAGCTACTTAAATGTGGACTTAATACGATTTTAAAGCACAAAAAAGAGTGCATTAAGTGAAATAAAAATAAACTTAAAATGTATTATAAATTGTTGTGTTTGATGTGATCGAAACGTTTGCACGATCGATAAATTGGACAAAGTCAATTCAGACATTTTAAAAGTCTATTAAGTCGTAATATTTGATTTAAAATTAAGCATTGTTCAAAATATTTTCTTGATAATTTAAGTAGTAATATTTACCTGCGTAAGATCTCTGCTCCATGCTTGAAATAGCCCCTCCCCATGAAAGCAGTCAAGATTAGAAATTGTAAGAAAACGTTCAGCACATATAGGCTCTTTACCAGCAGGTACAGGAGGCACAAATATCGACTTGGACCCGTCCCGCAACGGCAAGTGATTGGAATTCTACAGGATGGGTCAGCACAGCAGCCGACATTACCATTCACCATCGTGTGAAATTGATCAACAAATTCGGCCAATAGAGCTTCTCTTTGTTGGCAGCCAGGAGGCAAGCTGGCAATGTCCGATGCTCGTTTTAAAAGCCTTCGGATTTTGACTCCTGCATTGTGTGCGCAAGCTCCCCATAGAACAAATGGCAAATGGAAGCAGCATCCTTGGACTAAGAGAATCAAGGGTGACCATTGGTAGTAGGTGACCCTGACTCTTCTGAGTTTGTCGGCAGTGATGGCACCTTCCTCCCCTGCAGCAGCACTGTAGTCTATCTCGTCTGACAATGTCTTTGGATCGAGGGTGTTTTCGGCCGGTTCTCCTATATCGTCTACAGTTCCATCTGTGACTAGGTAGTAGGTTGAAGTAGTCCAGCAGAAACTATTTACATAACGGGATTGGCTTTCGGTGAAATAGGTCGGAGTAAAACATTCTATTGGGTCGCCAATATATTGCTTAGTGAATATTGGCAGCGCCAAAAAGAGGAAGATTAGGAGGGTGTACTTGCGGTTGAGCTTGTCGATGCCGTCATCGATGGGGACATGGATGCCGCCAATCAGATCATGGAATCGCAAGAGGAAAGACATGTTGCTAATGGTACTAGAGGGATCTGCTGGGAAACGTCAGCGTTGGCAGTGCTGATGAATATTATGGTACTGAAGATGGTGTTGATGAATAATGTAGTGAAACGTACGAGCATGGCCGGGATAGAACCTAAAACCTGAAAAAAAATTAGAAATTAGGATCTAACAAGCATTATTTGAAAAGCAAATTTCCACAACAAATAATTTCCACAACGTAGTGGAAACATGCATAGTCCTCCAACATCACAGAAACCATCAACCCTTCACTACTTAGCTTTGGAATTCATAATCCTCCTATGTTTAGTCCCCAAAAATGATTTCTGTAGTTCATTTTTATTTTCGTTGCTTACTTTATGATTCAATTCAAATTTTTTTTTATTCCACTTGCTTCGCTCTAGTTGATTGAGAATCAAAATGTCTTACAAATGTGGATTTCTTAAATTGTAGGTCCCAATCTAAATTTAAAACACATCACCTTTTGTGGACGATTTATAATTCTCGTAAAATAATGATTGACCTACCCGATTAACCTTTACATTAAAATTTAAATATTTTTGATAACTATTGCGTGTCAAGGAAGTAAATGTTCTATTAATCTTTCAATTTCGAAAATAAGCATGTCAGAAACCATAATTAGGCTAAAAACCGAAATGAAATGCTGATTGTTTTTAAAATGCTTTGTATAAAATCATTTTATTTTCTATTGTAAGTATGTAAGTATTCGCGAATTAAAATCTCAGTTCTTCTCTAAATATTATGTATTGAATAGTTTACTAGCTTAAGTTACTGATCTCGATTACTTTCCCTCCCCCCAAATCTCCTTTTCGTCATTTCAATTAATATTTACTTTGCATTTTTAATTTTAAATTTGATTTTTAAGTTTTAAAGCGTTCCTAGGAGTTGCAATTAAGCGAAAGCTTGAAGCGTTTCGCTGTTCACTTACTTCAAAGATTCTTAAGATACATAATATAGCGTGAGTGCCATAGGAAAGTGACAAAATGCATAAAAAGTTCGGAAAAGTAAAATAATAAGTTAATATTTGCACTGAAAGAAAACTCAATTGAGCACTTGAAAATTTGAATGAACTTACGACACTGATTTTGTAGTTATTAAAACTGAAATTCAGTAATCAAATTAGTTTTACTTAATGTAAATGTTATCACTTATTTTGAAATAATAACTTCCCCTTACAATACTGTTAACAATAAAAAAAGAAGAAAAAAAAACTTACGTATGTTATTGCATTTCTTAAGATAAAAAAAGAAACGTATATCGGTATTGTTACTACACATTCATCAAAAGTATATTGTTCAAAATTTATTCATATATCTTTTTTCATTTGTAAAAATATACGTTTGCAATGGCGAAATCGGAAAAGGAAACGAACAACAGATCAAAGAGCATAGCAAAGAAAAGGTAACGGAGTAATTTTTCTTATTTTTAACTCAGGAGTGTAAATGAAACTAGCTGTGGAATTCTTCTGAGAACTGTCTAAAGTAACAGTAAACAAAGAAAAATAGTTTGTAAAGTAAGAAAGATGAGCCATGTTGCAATAATTTTTTAGAGAAAAAATTGATTTTGTTTTCGGCGAAAGCCGGCTTTCAGTATAGTGAAAAATATTATCTTTCGGTAAAATAGATTAATGTACTTTTACCTTAAATAAATTATAATAAGGTTTAAAATATGATTTAATATTTTTGTATGTCTCTAGAAAATTTTTTAAAATAAATTTATTTCAAATAGCGTGCTACGTAAAATAGATGTTTCTCCTTACAGTGTTACAGTTTTTAAAAGTTTAATAATGTAAGGCCTGCATTTCATACATTGATAAAAAAGTATGACAAAAACTACTAGAATATGGTAAAATTTACAGTATTTCTGACTCTAAGGGAGTGCCAAAAATCTGAAAGCTTTTTACTGAAGAATTCCATGAATGATTTTAGTAAAATTAACAATTTTTCCAATTATTTTATTAAATATGGCAATAGTTGGTAATTTAATCATGATACCTTGGAACTTGGCTTATAAACTGTTCATTCCGCCAAATTTAATTTTTAGTTTAGCATTTTTTATTAAATATATAGTAATAAGATTTATAATTTTGAAAATCAGAATTTGCAGTATACCGTTACCATATGAATAAAAAAAAATACCAAATGAAGGATTTCAATACCGCATATATTTTGGTTTCATAATCAGAATTATTTTTTTAACCAGAAATGCCATTACTGAGCAGTACTGTTACTTTTCCAGAATTGTTTTCAACGGGTATGTTTTGTAATGTAATACGCTTCAGTTTTTAGCCAATAATCTTTTTCAGCGAAATTAAAAATATATTGAAATATTCCATGTCACTAAATTATTGTGTTTCTACCTGAAATAAATTGTCATAATCTTTAAAATGTATATAGGTATTTTTAGCATGCTTCATTGAAAGTTTCACATTTAATCATGTGGTAATGCAAATATTTTGAATGAAAAAAAATATATTACTGAGAGACTGTTCGTTTCAATTTTACTTTCATACTCTTTTAGCAACATTAGTTTAAGTGCGGAAATACTTATTGACTTCTGTTATGTAATGTACTGTAGGTTTTAAGAGAAAATTAACTTTAATCAAAGAAAAATACTTAAGATTTTTAAGATAGTAGTTAGCTTACTTTTACTTTAAATCTCTTTTTTTTTTGCATTTTTATATTTCTTTGTGAATTTAAAATAGAGTTTATATCATAAGAGTTTATCATAAGCGTTCCACTTAAAATTGGTTTTTATTTTAACATTTCCTTTTTCTTAAATTCTTTAATTTTTTCAACATCGCTAGTATAAATTTGAAAACACTAATGTAAGTGTTCTATACATTATTGAACTTCATTTCTAAGCGAATACCAGCTTTCGGCAAAATGAAAAATATTGTTCTTTGGTAGAATAGATAAGCGTTCTTTTACGTTAGATAAAATAGTACAAATATAAAAACCTGCATCTAAACATATATGTACTTTTTTTTTAAACATAGTTCTCTATTCTTTACATTACGAATTTCAAAGGAATTTCTAAAGAATTTTCTAAAAATTCTATATGAAAAATACTTATAATATTAATAAAAAGTAACTAATTTTTTGAACAGCATTAGTTTAAGCACAGCACGAGAGTACTAGAATTGGATATTGTACATTTTACTTTAGTTAAATATAATGTAGTGTTTAGCTAAAGCCAATATCAGTTAAGATTTCGGTTTATATTCAAGTATTTTTCGATTAAACAACTAGGGTGTTTTTACCAAGTTTAAAATATGCTTTTCTATTTCTTTATATACTTTTATTGCAGATTTTAAAATGAGAATGAAAAAATATTGAGCATGAAAAAAATTCTTATATTAATACGGTATTTTTTTTTCGTTAAATTCTTTTAAAATTATTAGTTTAAATGAAAAGGTGCTAATAAATTTTATTGAAAATGTATTACTCTGTATTAGTTAGTAGTTTTTAACGAAAATCGACTTTCAATAAATTGAAAAATATTATCTTTCAGTAAACAGACTTTTATCTTTAATTGTTATTATATTATTAAAACAGGCTTTTCACACACAGTTTTAGAAACCTACATTATTGCAACTAATTTATATGATATTGCAGTCATTCGACTTGAAAAATGTTTTTTTTAATGTAGTATGATGTTTCTTTTAAAAAGAAATTCTCATAACATCATTATCATAAAACGAAGGTAAAATCTGTATATTTCCTTTAGTTTCAGACACTTTTTTATTTTCCAGATCATGGGAAATTGCCTTAGATAAATTTCTAAAAAAGAATTGCTTTTTATTCAAGCTTTTGATAAAATGTTTCTAAATAATTTTTGTTCCTTCTTAAGAAATAAACTGCAAAAACTATAAGATTTTTTTAGCAAATCTAAATTTAAACTTAAAGAGCTTTAAGTCATATTAACTTCAGTTTCCGAGTGTTTTTTTTCAGGGACTGCAATTCTTTTAATATTTGACTAGATATTTGAAAAATAGATTTAACACAAAAGGTTTTTTGCATATCTTGAGAAGAAAAAATGAAATAAGCACGAAAATTGCTCTGGAATTAAGTTTTGATGATGGAAATATTTTTAACGGGTCACCAAGTTTTTACTTTTTTAATCTTTTCATTTTTTATTTCATACGAATACAAAAGACTTTTTATCGGATTAAAAATAGTTGAAAATGTAAATATTTTATATTTTTTTGGGAATTCCAGTGAAATTTGGCTAATTAAATGTGCACATCCACGTGAAAGGAACATTAATTTTCAAATTTTTTTTGATAAAAGTTAAAATACAAAAGTGTAATTGTTTTAACTATCAATTCTGATAATTATAATTAAAAAGAGTAGAAATAATTGATCAATACTAGCATGGAAATCATTAAAGAAAAAATAAAGTTCTGAATAATTTTCCTATTAAAGTTAGTGTGTAAAAGTGCAGTGTGCAAACAAACAAAAAGCGAACACTCTGAATAACTTTTGATCTGATGATCAGATTTTCAGTTTCTAAGACTCAATCATGTTTCGAAAACCTTACCTTAAACATGCAAATTTATTTGTCCAGACGATAATCTAAATTACAAAATCAGACATAAAAAAAGATTTTTTTTTGAATTTTAAATTGCTATATTTTTACCAAACATATTATATACATATTCCTATTCATTTCGAATTGAAGCATAAGACTTCTATCATACCTTTCCCTCTCATGCCAGATATCTTGCTTCTCTAAATCTTTTGGATAGTTTTCAGTTCACTTATAATCCTGCGCCGAGAGTTTTAAGGTCTTCCTCTTTTTCTTTTGGCCTTAGGTCTCCAATCAAAAATTGTTTTATGTAGAACATGAGCAATATATTTCCATTTACTTTTTTTAATTTCCAGTTCAGTTGATTTCTGTCTTGCTTTTCTAAGGAATTCCACGTTTCAATCTTCATAGAACCACTTAATACGTAAAATATTTCTTAAACTGTTAATAAATAGTTGAAGTTTTTTCATGTGATTTTTAATGCAGTGCCAAGTCTCAGATCCATAGTGAAGGACAAATTTAACATTAGTTTTGAAAATTCAAATTATTGTTAAATTCGTAATGTTTGTGCTTCTTCCAGAATTTATTGAGA